AAAAAAAAAAAAAAAAAAAAAAAAGACAAAGACCATTATCAAACACTTCTTACACGACGAAGAAACCGAAAAAAACAAGAACATTATCAAACGAGCAAAACGTTGCCCTAATCAATCACCTGCGCTGCAAGATGTCGGCGGGTCTCTCTGCAAGTCTTTAAGCTCCTTCAATATTCTCTTGGACGCCATTGTTGCAAGCTCTAAGCTTTTGATTCTACAGAGTGCAAAGGGCTTGAAATGGTCTATATAATGCCCAAAAAGGGGAGGGTATAAGAACCAATGCATGGCAATTGGTTTTGCACTTCTCAAAGTGGGAACAGAATACATTCTTTGAGAAGAGGATAGTAAGCTAACATATTAAGAATCTTGTGTGTTTTTTAATATGAAAAGGATAAATTCCATCTTTACCCTCTCGAACGGTCCTAATCGAGTGTCGTGAGTATATTAAATGATTAAATTTAAGATGATTTTGACTATCGATCGAATTTGTTAGCACAGATGAATAAAGGGTTTTGCCTCACACGTGTGTCTTAGGAAGTTTCTCGTAACAATTAGGTTAAAGTACCGTTTTGGATTGGTTTGAGCTTTTGGACGGTTCTGGAAGCATTTTTTTACCCAATTGGGGTTATGTTGGCTCAGAGATAAATTCTAACCTCGGTTATATGAATGGATGAAATTTCGTAGGTAAAATTGGATTACGTAAACTTAACTTAGGAACATTGGACTAAAGAAAGTTTAGGAACACTATTACGTGCATCATCTCGTTGAACCACGATTCTTAATGTGAGATCTTATGCATGTTGTATGTCTCACGAGCATAGATCACTTCTCATGTATGTTATGCATGGACACATACACCATGGTATTATACGTGCGTGATGGTGCACTAGCCCATAATCAAGCCTAACAGCGTGAGTCCACCTAGTGGGTTCATGCACTTATGATTAAACTTAAGGTGATTTTGACTATCGATCGAATTCATTAGCAAAGATGAACGAAGGGTTTTGCCTCACACGTGTGTCTTGGGAAATTTCTCGCAACAATTAGGTTAAAATATCGTTTTGGACTGTTCTGGAAGCATTTTCAACCCAATTGAGGTTCGAAAAAGTTACTGTCGTAACTATTGTGGTAAAGAAGATTATAATATTTGAACACTATTGAGGACTAATTTTAAGATACTGTAATGACGTTGGGTCACAGATAAACTCTAAGCCCGATTTTATGAATGGATGAAATAAACATTCGACCAAAGAAAGCTTAGGAACACTATGTCTCACGAGCATAGATTATTTCTCCATAGTATTATACGTGCGTGAGGGTTAATCAAACCTAACCACGTGAATCCGTCTAATGGGTTCATGAATCGTGTGTGGAGGAGTAGTATTCATCTAACCCAACCGTCTTATTTTAATAGCTTCTTTAGCCCGACCCGTGGTATGGTGTGGAATCGAATATTAAATATATGGGGAAAAATAAGAGAAGATGGAGAGAAGATATAGGAAGTGAGGTGAAGGAATTGGATGGTGATTTTATGTGTATATATTGTTTGGAAGTGATAGGTTTTGGTTAATTAAAAATTTAAAGAATCTACGTCATGGGAGAGGAAAGTAGGATTCATTTTGGTTTCTCCACTGCCATCCATATATATATATATATATATATATATATATATATATATATAATTTTGTGTAAAATTTAAAGGTGAATAAAATGAATATATATATATATATTAGTAATTTTTTTCAGACAATTTTATATAAATAAATAAATAAATAAATAAATCTATATATTAATTTTATAAATATTTTTTTTATTATTATTTCAATTTTATAATCTTATAATTTTATAACTACTTTTTTATTATTTATCCTCGAGCAACTCTATTATTTCAATTTTATAATTTATATATATATATATATATAAAGGTTTATTTGGCTAAAAATGCAAGCTGACGTGGAGCATAATCATTGGACAAAGGACACAAAAAGCGAAGTAAGTGCCCGCAGAGTATAGAATCTCATTAAACAGAAGCCCGCCAATTTCGAAATATCGCTAACTACCGTCTCCAACTCTGTAATCTTTTCCTCTCTCGAAGCCCTAATTATGGCGAAGAGCTCAGAGCCAAGAGATTCATCTTTAGTTCCGAGAATTTGTCCAGAGGTAACATTATATAAACCATCTTCCATTACCATTCCAAATCAGCTTCTCGGAGTCTCAATCTCTAATGTGACATTAGCCATTGAGTATTCATTTTAATCTTCCATGTTCTTCCTGTTTATTCACTGAATTCCAACTCCCAATCCAAAATCCACAAGATCGATTCCATGGCGGTTCTTAAACAAATGCTTGTTGCTTTGGTTCTTTCCGTTCTGGCTCTTGGTGTTGCTGCAAATCGTACCATTGGTGTTACCTACGATAGCAGATCGCTCATCGTTAATGGCAAACGAGAACTTATGTTCTCTGGTTCCATTCATTACCCCAGAAGTACATCTGATGTAAGTTAATCTAGAAAAAATCTGGAAAAAAAAAAAAAAAACAGAGATACCTAATGGTTATTGTTTCTTGATTGCAGATGTGGCCTGATATTCTCGAGAAGGCGAAACGTGGTGGTTTGAATGTGATTCAAACTTACGTTTTCTGGAATATTCATGAACCAGTTGAAGGCCAGGTAAATCTGAAGATCTCAGATCGAGTTCGATTGATTATGTGATGAATTTATCTTGAATCGAGTGTTTTTCTGCACTGTGCAGTATAATTTCGAAGGAAATTATGATTTGGTGAAGTTCATCAAACTCATTGGAGAGAAAAAGATGTTTGTAACTCTAAGAGTTGGACCTTTCATCCAAGCTGAATGGAACCATGGGTATTGTTCATCATTTCCTCCTCGATCATGCTTCAGAATCTCTGTAATTCTGTGTGTTCATCTCTAAGATGCGTTCTTTTCACTGTATATTCAGAGGACTTCCATATTGGCTCAGAGAGAAACCAAACATTATTTTCCGATCATACAACGCTCCATTCAAGGTCAAAAATGCTTGCAATCTTTACATTTTGAGGAGATTGGAGTTCTTGCGGGTACTAAAGAACAGAACTGTTTCATTTGCAGAATTACATGAAGAAATTTGTGACCATGATCATAGACATGATGAAGGAAAATAAGCTATTTGCTTCTCAAGGAGGACCCATCGTTTTGGCTCAGATTGAAAATGAATATAACCATGTTCAACTTGCTTATGATGAGCTCGGTGTCCAATACGTCCAATGGGCTGCAAATTTGGCCATTAGCTACAACATCGGAGTTCCATGGGTCATGTGCAAGCAAAAGGATGCTCCTGATCCCGTGGTAAGCTTGGTGATCTCTTAAACTGTTCTAAGCCTTGTGATTTGATCAGAAACTAAGAATCTTGCTTGTATATGTTCAGATCAACACCTGCAACGGAAGGCACTGCGGTGACACCTTCACCGGTCCCAACAAGCCCTACAAGCCTGCCTTGTGGACTGAGAATTGGACTGCTCAGTAAGCATTTAACCTAATCTTGCTCACAATTTTGAATATAATTCATACAAAAGTACTAACTAAACATGAACTGTTAGATACCGTGTCTTTGGAGACCCACCTTCCCAAAGAGCTGCAGAAGATATTGCCTATTCCGTTGCCAGATTCTTCTCCAAGAACGGGAGCCTTGTCAACTATTACATGGTAAGAAATCTATGGCTTGTGGTTGAATTCTACTTTAATGGAAACCAAATGATCTAATTCAACCTCCACAGTACCATGGTGGCACAAACTTTGGAAGAACAAGTGCTGTCTTTACAACAACCAGATACTATGATGAAGCACCACTTGATGAGTTTGGTAAGTGTGTTTCATGGCTAATTCAACCAATTATTGTGCTCAAACGTCTAAATTTTGCTCTGTTGTGATATGAAAGGCTTGCAAAGGGAGCCCAAATGGGGTCATCTCAGGGATGTGCACAAGGCTTTGAATTTGTGCAAGAAGCCTCTCCTCTGGGGAACTCCTAGAACCCAAGTGATGGGCAAGGGCTTAGAGGCTCGCATTTATGAGAAGCCAGGAACCAACATTTGTGCTGCTTTCTTGGCCAACAATGACACCAAGTTTGCACAAACTGTTAACTTCGGGGGACGAGATTATCTCCTTCCTCCTCGATCAATTAGCGTGCTTCCCGACTGTACCACTGTTGTCTACAACACTCAAACGGTATAACACCTCTCTCATAAGAACAAACTCAAGATTCATGGTTCCTCAGGGCTCTAATTGACTCTTCCATTACAGATTGTATCACAGCACAATGCCAGGAACTTCGTCCCATCAAAGGTTGCAACCAATTTCCAATGGAAAATGTACTCTGAACCCGTTCCAACTGTCGAGCATGTCCCAGTAAATAACAAGATACCATTGGAGCTCTACACCTTACTCAAGGACACCACAGATTACGGATGGTACACCACTAGGTAATATGAACTTCAATCACTTTTTAAAACAAAAAATAACCCAAATGATATCTAACATCCTATCATCAACTGATAAACAGCATTGAATTGGACATAGAAGATGTGTCAAAGCGCCCAGATATTCTTCCAGTCATTCGTATTGCAAGTCTTGGTCATGCTATGCTTGTATACGTTAATGGCGAATATATTGGAGGGGCACATGGTAGTCATGAAGAGAAGAATTTCGTTTTCCAAAAATCAGTTCCCTTCAAGGCTGGACTTAACCACATAGCCCTGCTAGGCACATTAGTTGGACTTCCTGTATGTAGAATACAATCCATTGATTCTTCTTTCTGTTTGATTCTATTCTAGAAAATGTAATCACGAGTTCTTCTTTTGTCATAACAGGATAGTGGAGCTTACATGGAACACAGATTTGCAGGACCTCGATCCATTACCATCCTTGGTTTGAATACTGGAACACTTGATGTTTCTAAGAATGGTTGGGGACACCAGGTTGGTCTCAACGGAGAAAGAAATAAAATTTTCACTGAGGAAGGATCACAAAAGTTTGATTGGAGTGACATCAAAGAACAAAAATCTGCTCTCACATGGTACAAGGTAATGTTCTTCATAAGCTCTAGTAATGAACAGAAAATCAGGCAACCCCATGAAAAACACAATCAAATCAACTCAACTAAACTAAACTAAACTCACTGATTTTCTTGCATCCAGACATACTTCGATGCTCCAGAAGGCAACGATCCAGTGGCTATTAGAATGAACAAAATGGGTAAGGGACAAGTTTGGGTGAATGGTCAAAGCATTGGTCGATATTGGATGTCCTACTTATCCCCTCTAAGACAGCCCACACAAGCAGACTACCACATTCCAAGATCCTTCATAAAGCCAAAGCAAAATCTCCTATTGATATTGGAAGAAGAGCCACTCACACCTGAAAAGGTTGAAATCGTACTGGTAAACAGAGACACAATCTGCAGCTACATAACCCAATATCATCCACCAAACGTCAAGTCCTGGGAAAGGAAGAACAAGCAATTCAGAGCGGTGGTTGATGATGTGAAATCCGGTGCCCATCTCAGGTGCCCCGATCAGAAGAAGATTGCCGCCATTGAATTCGCAAGCTTTGGTGAACCTATTGGTGTCTGCGGAAACTATGAACACGGGAAATGCAACTCAGCCGCTGAGACACAGAAAGTCGTCGAACAGGTAAAACAAACTAATACAATACAATACATTACCTCTTTACAAACTTGAAACCCTTTTGAAATGGGTTTTTGGTGTTCTTGTTGCAGTATTGTTTGGGTAAAGATAGCTGTTCGGTTCCATTGGATGCGTTCAGCAACCTCAAGAGTGAGTGTGATGGCAAGACAATAGCGATTCAAGCAAAATGCAGCGTCTAGAAAGAAGAAGAGACAAGGGAGGCTGGTCTGCTCTACCTTCTGCCTTCTGCCTGCTGCTGATAACACCATGAAATCATCCTCCCTTTAGAGTTGAGGCTCCTTGAAGCTCAATGTTTTTTTTTTTTTTTTAATTATTTATTATGAATAAATTAAGTTTTTGTTATCTCATGGCTTCAATTCTTTTAATAATTTTTAAAATAATTATTAATATTTGTAACTTAAATTCTTTTAATAATTTTTTTTACAAAATTTGGTTTTTGATATTAAAAAAAAAAAAGTAGAATTATTAATATTTGTAACTTAAATTCTTTTAATAATTTTTTTTACAAAATTTGGGTTTTGATATAGAATTATTAATATTTGTAACTTAAATTCTTTAAATAAAGTTTTACAAATTAATATTTTATTTTTATTATAAACAAATTTTGAATAAACCATTCGACTAACAAGGTCATGAGAGGATTATCAAGCTATAAATTCAATTTATTGTTTAAATTATGGGCTTAGAGGGTCTCGAGATATTCGGTCACTTTCTCTTTCATTCATCTAAAGGCTCGTGAATATCATGAACTTGTTTAATCCAAATAGTTGTTAGGTACTCGTGTAGGTAATAACTCCTACACGTGCTAAACTAGAATGATTTTTTTTTATTTTGATAAATGAGATTAAATTTTCATAGTTGATTTTTATTTTTAATGAATATTTGCATAATTTAGCTTAAAAAATTAAAAACAAAAAATGATACCTTTAAATTTTCTTGTTGTTTCGATTTTTTTGTTTCAAAAACATTTTGTGTTTTCAAATAAAATAAATAATTTTATCTGATTCATTGGAACTTGGGATGATATTTTTAAAGGTACTATATTTTTTTTTATTTAGAAATATATATTTTTAGCAATCTTTAATATATTGGTAATATTTATATATTTTTAGCCATCTTTAATATATTCCTAATATTTATATATTAAGATTTACTTTATCTAATTTATCTAATAAAAGTATTCTTTTAAAAATTGAAATTATTATCGGCTAAATTCAGGTAAAAGAGAACTTTAAAAAAAAATTAAATAGCACCCCCCGAATGACACGTGGCATGACGAAGTACTAAAATTTTCCCGCTTTAAATGAGAGAAAGCAATTGGATCAAGTTCTGCGCCACGCCATGAAAACCGCGAATCAAATCGTTGGCTGTTTCCGAGTACCCTCAATTCAAACATCAACAATCTTTTCATAAATTTTGCGACAAAAACGAAACCATCCCGAAAAAACAAAAACTACAACATTCGCTACTTGTTTTTAGAAGATCAATGCTTCGATTTCAATGATTTTTTTGACTGTCGGCTTTCGATTCCGTTGTTTTGGTCGTTGAAATCGAGAAGGAAGCTTCGGATCTTCCAAAATTCCCCTCTGTAGAATATTCTTATCCAATCATTGATCTGCAAGTTTGAAGGCGCCGGAAAGTCGATGAACAGGAATTGAGATGGGGTTTTTCGGTACTATATTGGGTTTTTTTGGATTTGGAGTCGGCATCTCCATCGGCCTTGTTGCTGGTTACTTCCTTTTCATCTATGTTCAACCTAATAATGTTGAGGTTAGTATTTATTTGCTTTGGTTCATTTACAATGAGATTTCAGAAAGTGTTTCATACCAACAGATTCAGTTCCATAACCACGAGTTTCATTACTATTAAGACCTTTTCGATTATAAATACTAATAAAATTAGATCTGGTTTTTATATACGATCTTAGGATTTGCGATCCTTGATAAGATCGATAAACTATCATTGGATCGTTTGGATTGAACCGTAAGGGTGAATGCAAATAGTTAAGGGGTTCAGATCATAGTCACCACTTAGGATTTAATATCTTACATGAAGCAAATGGAGTAGGATTATGTAGGCATGTTTAAAATTAATTGGAAATTGAGTTCATATGATGTTGGATTCGAAAATGAGAGGTTACAGAAATGTTTGGATTGATCATACGTTAAGGGGTTCAGATCATAGTCAACCCAATATGAACATTTAGGATTGATCATATTCACCACCTGTTGTTTGGCTCTGATACCAACTGATACAGTTGAGAACAACATCTGTTAGCGTTGAGTTTAGGTCATTACAAATGGTATCAGAGCAGACATCGGACATGCCAACAAAGAGGCTAAGCCCTGAAGAGGGTAGACACGAGGCGGCGTGGCAACAAGGACACTGAACTCTGAAGGGGGTGGATTGTGAGATCCCACGTCAGTTGGAAAGGAGAACGAAGCATTCTTTATAAGTGTAGAAACCTCTCCCTAGTAAATGCGTTTTAAAAACCTTGAGAGAAAATCCGATAGGGAAAGCCCAAAGAGGACAATATCTGCTACCGGTGGGCTTAGACCGTTACAGCTTTGTTATCCTTATACTGTCTATCCTACATTCTATGGATTTTGAAGAACTTATGCTGAAATGGTCTGTTCAGGATCATGAGATTCGACCGCTTGTCGAAGAGGACACAATAAGATTACAGCAAATGCTTCCTGAGATACCACTTTGGGTGAAATGTCCAGATTATGATCGTGTATGTAACTTGCTTTAAATTCCTCTGGTTTTGCATTTTCACTGAATTATCTGATACTTTTGGTATCAACTATTTTGTAGGTTGACTGGCTTAACAGGCTTATTCAATATATGTGGCCTTACCTTGATAAGGTTCACTCATCTGTTTATTAGCAGCAGCATGATTTTGTTATCCATTTCTTGTGTCTGTTCAGAAATCTTATGTTTCTTGTTGATACAGGCGATATGCAAAACAGTAAGAGATATCGCTAAACCTATAATTGCAGAGCAAATTCCTAAGTTTAAGATCGATTCCGTTGATTTCGAAGCACTCACATTGGGGTCCTTGCCGCCGACGTTTCAAGGTACTGATGTGATTCAACTCTTCAGGTTCAATATTAGAGGAATTTTATGTGAAAATTTTATGAAGTCTTCCATTGAATCTTAGTTCTGTTTTGTGAATGTGGGAAAATGTAGAACACTTTGAATTTGAAGATGGTTATTTCTGCACTTTAGAATGTCTTGAAAGAAGGAGAAGAAGCTAAAAAGTCATGATTGGATGAGATCATAGAGTATGCTTTACACAATTCAAGACTAGGGAAATAGGACTCTGATACATTGCATCATGTGGACTAAGAATGTGAGATCCCACATTCGTTGGGGAGGAAAACGAAGCATTCTTTATAGGGGAAGCTCGAAAGGGAAAGCCTAAAGAAGACAATATCTGCTAGCGGTGGACTTGGACTGTTACAAATGGTATTAGAGCTAGATACCGAACGATGTGCCAATGAGGAGGCTGAGCCTTGAAGCAGTGTGCTAGCAAGGACGCTGGTCCCAAAAGGGTGGATTGGGGGGTCTCACATCAATTGGAGAAGGGAACAAGTGCCTGAAAGGAAAAGCCCAAAGAAGACAATATCTACTAGCAGTGGACTTGGGCTGTTACAAATGGTATCAGAGCCAGACACCGAACGATGTGCCAACGAGGAGGCTGAGCCCCGAAGCAGTGTGCCAGCAAGGACGTTGGTCCCAAAAGGGGGTGGATTGGGGAGTCCCACATCAATTGAACAAGTGCCCGAAAAGAAAAGCCCAAAGAGGACAATATCTACTAGCAGCGGGCTTGGACTGTTACAAATGGTATTAGAGTCAGACACCGAGCAATGTGCCAACAAGGACGTTGGTCCTAAAAGGGGGTGGATTGGGGAGTCCCACATCAATTGGAGAAGGGAACAAGTGCCCGAAAGGAAAAGCCCAAAGAGGACAATATCTACTAGCAGTGGGCTTGGGCTGTTACAAATGGTATCAAAGCCAGATACCGAACGATGTGCCAGTGAGGAGGCTGAGCCCCAAAGGAGGTAGACACGAGACAGTATGCCAGCAAGGACGCTGGCTCCAAAGGAAGTGGATTAGGGTGTCCCATATCGATTGGAGAAGGGAACGAGTGTCTGAAAGGGAAAGCCTAAAGAGGACAATATCTGCTAGCAGTGGGCTTGGGCTGTTACAAATGGTATTAGAGCCAGTGAGAAGGCTGAGCCCCAAAGGGGGTGGACACGAGGCGGTGTGCCAGCAAGAACGCTGGCTCCAAAGGGAGTGGATTGGAGTGTCTCACATCAATTGGAGAAGGGAACGAGTGCCCGAAAGGGAAAACCCAAAGAAGACAATATCTGCTAGCGGTGGGCTTGGACTGTTACACAGAATCGGTTGAGTGTTTATCAGAATATTTTTTATTTTGCCTTTCATCTGTTGCAGCAGATAATTTAATTCGTTGCATCATTATATCTATTCAAGATAGCAGCTGATCTTTTCTTATGATCATGTTTCTTGTTAGGCATGAAAGTGTACGTTACTGATGAGAAGGAGCTGATAATGGAACCTTCAATAAAATGGGCTGGAAATCCAAATGTCCTGATAGCAATCAAGGCATTTGGACTGAAAGCAACAGTTCAGGTGAGAATATGATGTCTTTTCTTATTCTATGCCTAAAATTTTAAATGACTTTGTCATTCTTCTGTCTGGCAACTACAGGTTTTAGATTTGCAAGTTTTTGCAGCTCCACGTATTACCTTGAAGCCATTGGTTCCAAGCTTTCCTTGTTTTGCAAATATCTTCGTCTCGCTCATGGAAAAGGTTTTGTGCTCACGAGTCACCATTCCATTTCTTGTTGGTATTTACTCAAGTTTTGTGACTGGGAACTTTTAATGTCTGATCCTTGGAGGGGTTCGAAGATTCTTTAGAAGAGTGTAAAAACTTCTCACTAGCAGATGCGTTTTAAAAACCTTGAGGTGAAGCCCGAAAGGGAAAGTCCAAAGAGGACCATATCTGCTAGTCAATGTGAGACTCCTTCCCAACAATCCTCCCCTCGAACAAAGTACACCATAGAGCCTCCCTTGAGGTCTATGTAGCCCTCGAACAGTCTCCCCTTAATCGAGGCTCGACTCCTTTCTCTAGAGCCCTCGAACAAAGTACACCCTTTGTTCGACACACGAGTCACTTTTGACTACACCTTCGAGACTAGCAATTTCTTTGTTCTAACACTTGAGGATATTGACATGGCTAAATTAAGAGCATGAACTCTGATACCATGTAAGGAATCACGACTCTCTACAATAGTATGATACTGTCCACTTTGAGCATAAGCTTTCGTGGCTTTGCTTTGGGCTTCCCTAAAAGGCCTCGTACCAATGGAGAAATGTATTTCTTACTTATAAATCCCATGATCATTCCCTAAAGTAGCCAACAGTAGCCAACGTGGCGAGAATTTGGACTCTCTCTCCCTCACGTTTTTGAAAACTTATGGCTTATTGATTGTGTTTATCGACTCAACTCTGCTGTTGGTTTTGCAGCCACACGTTGATTTTGGCCTAAAACTTGTTGGGGCTGACTTAATGTCAATTCCAGGTCTCCACCACTTTGTCCAGGTACTGTAGTGATGTTTTTATTCTGGCTGAGCGCATATGCATTAAGCTTTCCATGTGAGTTAATATAGTTCATTATCTGAAGCAAAGTAACATCTATCAGCCTCTATTGTAAACCATTCTCAAGATGACACCATTATTTGGCTGTGTTTTTCCTTCGTTTTTTCGTAGCAACATCGAACGTTCAAACGCTCAAAGAATGCGAATCTGTCTCACTTTATTGAGTTGAATTCGAACGAGTTCGATCTGGAAATCATGTTCATGATTGCATTAAAAACTTAACTGCAGGAGACCATTAAAGATCAGGTTGGCAACTTGTATCTATGGCCTAAAACCTTGGATATAGCAGTCATGGACCCATCAACGTATGTTCATATTCTTTGTTTCAACGTTGTGAAACTTGTGTTTAGGCTATCTCCTGTGCTAATATAATCAATTTTGATTTCATAGAGCGCTAAGGAAGCCGGTTGGTATCCTAGATGTGAAGGTTGTGAGGGCATTGAGGCTAAAAAAGAAAGACCTTTTAGGTGCATCAGATCCTTATGTAAAGCTGCAGCTTACAGAGGAAAATCTACCTTCAAAAAAGACCACTGTGAAGCAAAAGAATTTGAATCCAGAATGGAATGAAGAGTTCAATTTTGTGGTTAAAGATCCAAATTCCCAAGCCATAGAGTTCCAAGTTTTCGACTGGGAGCAGGTCAGTAATTTTGATGTCCTTTCCTTGAATCTGTTCTATTTAGGCTCATATAGTTTATGTTTAAAGGTTGGAAAGCATGACAAAATGGGCATAAATCTAGTCCCTTTGAAAGAGCTTTATCCGGATGAGCCAAAAATCTTCACGCTTGACCTGCTCAAGAACATGGACTTGAATGATGTTCAAAATGAGAAGAACAGGGGACAAATTGTGGTTGAGTTGACGTATAAACCATTCAAGGAAGATGAATTAGCTGGAGATTTTGATGATTCACAGAAGAAGGTAATGGATGCTCCTGCAGGAACGCCAGAAAATGGAGGTCTACTCGTAGTTATTGTTCATGAAGCTCAAGATGTTGAAGGCAAGCACCATAACAATCCATATGTGAGGCTTCTCTTCAAAGGAGAAGAGAAAAGAACTAAGGTACTTTATGATTCTTGTTCATGATAATGATCTCGCTTTACTATCATCATTACTCATATAACAAGTGGGAATTTCTAGAGATCTTTGTAGTTTATAAGAATCGAAGTTGTAACGTACCTACTGGTTTAGGTAAATGTGATATCCCACATTGGTACCTACTGGTTTAGGTAAATGTGATATCCCACATTGGTTGGAAAGGAGAACGAAACTTTCTTTATAAGGGTGTGGAAACCTCTCCTTAGTAGACGTGTTTTAAAAACCTTGAGAGGAAGCCCGAAAGGGAAAGCCCAAAGAGGATAATATCTGCTAGCGGTGGGCTTGGACTGTTACAAATGGTGTCAGAACCAGACACTGGGCGATGTGTCAGCGAGAAGGCTGAGCCCCGAAGAGGGGTGGACATGAGGCTGTGTGCCAGCAGAGATGCTGAGCCTCAAAAGGGGGTGGATTGGGGGTTCTCACATCGATTGAAGAAGGGAACGAGTGCTAATGAGGACACTGAGCCCTGAAGGGGGTGGATCGTGATATCCCACATCAGTTGGGGAGGAGAACAAAACATTTTTTATAAGGGTGTGGAAACCTCTCTCTAGCAGACGCGTTTTAGAAACCTTGAGGGTAAACCCGAAAGGAAAGCCCAAAGAGGATAATATCTGTTAGCGGTAGGCTTAGGCTGTTACAAATGGTGTCAGAACCAGACACTGGGCGATGTGCCAGCGAGAAGGCTGAGTCCCGAAGGGAGGTGGACATGAGGCAGTGTGCCAGCAAAGATGCTGGGCCCCAAGAGGGAGTGGATTGTGGGTCCCATATCGATTGGAGAATGGAACGAGTGCCAGCTAGGACGCTGAACCTCGAAGGGGGTGGATTGTGATATTCCACATTAGTTGGGAAGGAGAACAAAACATTCTTTATAAGGGTGTAGAAGCCTCTCCCTAGCAGACGCGTTTTAAAAACCTTGAGGGGAAGTCCGAAGAGGACAATGTCTGCGCTAGCGGTGAGCTTGGGCTGCTACAGTAAATATCTACTGGGCTCCTTTCCTGCATGCCATAAATGACCTACGAGTAAGAAGAATCCTAGAACAAAATAAGAGGTAGCTAACCAACTTCTAGGAGAAGAAATAATTGACTGCATTAATTTCAGTTGCATTAATTTCAGTAGCTAGCGAAGAAAGTTTTTACGCCGTTAAAATCAAGAGAGAAGTCTCTTAAGCCGCTATGGTCTGAGCTCTCATTTAACAAGTAACCAGCAAGATTATTTAGATCGATATTTATCTGCTTCTTGTCGATCCTTTTTTGTTTGGCAGCGTCTGAAGAAGAACAGAGACCCAAGATGGGAAGAGGAGTTTGAATTTATGCTGGAAGAACCACCCACAGATGACAAATTATATGTGGAAGTTCTCAGCTCCTCATCAAGAATGGGCCTCTTGCATCCCAAGGTACGTGCTTACTATATCCGAAAATAGCTCGACTAGTTAAAACATAGACCACCATCAGCCAAGAAGTTAGACGTTCGAATCTCCACCTTCATATGTTAACTCAAATGAACGGTATTAGAATATATGAACGAGCATGATTTAAGGGTTATGGGTATACTATTATTCAAGTAAAAGAAGTAAACTCTAGTACTCACTTTGAGGTCGGTTTGAAATGATTTTTTAAGTGCTATAAAGACTCTTTTTTGTGTACTTCAAAAAACATTTCAAAACGAACGATTCTGAAGTACTTTTGTCTACACAATCATTCGACTTTCCTTGACGAAGGATACTCGTGTTTTGGAACAGGAATCGTTGGGGTACGTGGAGATAAGTCTGGGCGACGTTGTTACGAACAAAAGGATAAACGAAAAGTACCACCTTATAGACTCAAAGAATGGAAGGATTCAAATTGAGTTGCAATGGAGGACTTCATCTTGAGCTCACCATTTTTTTCTTGCTTAAATCTTCAGAGGAATACAGCAAGAGACAGGAAACACATTTTTCTAATACATATTCATTTCTTATACTTTTCATCGCCCATACAAATAAAGAGGTTCTGAGTTTAGTTTTTATTTGAACCCGAACATTTCATCGGTCGTTATAAATCTTACTCTATTCGTTTTGAGTTTAGTCTTCATTTGAACCCGAATATTTCATCTATCGTCTGATCCTTGGGTTCTAAATCTTACTATGTTCTGGGTTTTAGTTTCCAATGGAACCTGGACGTTTCATCAATCGTTTGATTCTTGGCATCGACATGGTCCATACGTCTTGACACCATCCCGAATCTCGAGATGTCGTTGGCCGTCACAACTCGTTCGGTCATGTCATTGAGAACAGGTTCGCGTATCGCTCATCTCATCGGGACTTCCCGAACATCCACCCATCAGGATTCTATCGAGGCATTGGCCCTCCTGTGCCCATGTCGTGTCATTTACGGATACTGTGCCGGATTGCAGGGGTATGTAGCAACCTCCAACACGCGGCTGGGGCGCAATACCAGCACACCCATGCCGCCCAGTACTGTCCTTGAAAAACCCATTTCAAAGGAAGTCGTCCGAGACAATCTCGACATGTTTGCCCACACTCTGACACACGCATGTGACTAAGGGTAACCCATTTCAAAGGAAGTCGTCCGAGACAAGCTCGACATGTTTGCCCACACTCTGACACACCCATGTGTAGCTCATTCAAATTATTAGGTTAGAATTTATATTTAATAAAATTAGTTTTCTAAAATATAATTACTTTTTTTTTCTAAAAATTTAATATATACAAAATTGAAAGATTATCCACCTATTGCCTATTTATAATTTAACCTATTTTACGAATTATTTATTTTGTGGTTAAATTCGACAACGAATTCCAATCTACAAAAATTTTAAAATAATAATAAATAAATAAATAAAGAACGAAATAATTTTGGTTCACTGAAAATTTTGTATAAAAGGCGCGTGGCGGTTCATGGCCAAAGGATGAGCTTTGGAGGTCGCATTATCAAATTGGGAGCAGATTTTTGCGAAGTTCGAGGTATGCACTTGACTTTTCTTCTCTCGTCTGCTAACTATAATATCCAATCCCATCGTTTCTTCATCTTCTTCTTCTTCATCAGGTATCCTCTCTACTGTACGAAGCAACGCCTTTCGTTTTGCTGCTCTGTAATGGCGTTACCGGTCGTAGATACAGAGTACCTTAAGGAGATCGATAAGGCTCGCCGTCACCTCCGCTCTCTCATTGCCAACCGGAACTGTGCACCGATCATGCTTCGTCTGGCGTATGCTCTCTCAACATTCACCTTGATTGTCTATTTTCAAGTATTGGAATAATCGTTGTATGTATCGGATTGTTATTTCTCTCATTTCATTTCTCTTGCGAGTTCGGTTGTGTAAATGAAGGAGACGGACGGTTCCTTTAGGATTCTGTGGTTGAGTTGCTTGTTGTTATTCCTTCTGTGCTGGTTCTTGCTGGACTTGCATGGTCAAAATAGGAGTTCGCCAGTTTTGCTGTTTTTTTTTTTTTTTTTTTTTTTTTTTTTTTCTGTTGAATGAAGTTTTGCTTTCTCTCTGATTTTCTTGGAGTGATTTCTGACGAAGGATTCGATGTTTCTAACACTGTGCCGTCTTTTGAAGTTGGCACGACGCTGGCACGTACGATGTGAGTACGAAAACTGGAGGGCCTAATGGTTCGATTAGGAACGCGGAGGAGTATTCTCACGGGTCTAACAATGGACTGAAAAAAGCTATTGATTTTTGTGGTATGCCAGTGGTTTCTTCTTTGCGTTGAGGTTCATGTAAACTGAAAGTCAATCAATTAAGCTATCTGAGTATGGTTCGAAGTATCTTTGTTGTTGTAGTTTCGAAATTATATTGGAGCCATATCGTGGTTTTTTATTTACCGAGAATGTCCACTAAATATTGCAAATTAACATATTTGACTTACACTTGTTTTTCTTCTTTAATAACAGAGGAAGTGAAGTATAAACATCCGAAGATTACTTATGCAGACCTGTACCAGGTAACTGAAATACTTATGCAGACCTGTACCAGGTAACTGAAACTGTCACGGTAGTATAGATATGCCTGCAGTTTTGTAATTTTACCAATTCTGATTCATCCTATTTTAGGTGGAATGGATTCTGCATGTAAGGAACTGTATGTGTTTTAAATTTTAGCGTGAGAAGTACGTTAGAAATATGTTGTGATTGACCAATGATATATTAATCGAAATTAGATGAAAAGCTCCACAATGGTTAAGCACTTCTACTGTCGTTAAGCGTTTCAACTTCACTCTTTGTTAATCTTAGCGTGAGAAATATTTTGTCATTGAAATTTTATTAGCATAGCAGATTCATACTGTGATTTCTGATCCCTTTGTAGTGGATAAGATTCATGCCTCTTTCAAATTCACATGCTATACATGTCTAAGTTTGTATTTTAACAAACAAGTTTACATTTGCTTCTTCATAACTCCTAGATAAAAGCTTAATGAAAAAGTGAAAATTGTAATAAGAAGACTTTATAAACCAGTGACAGTCGAGAAATTTTTTAAAACTGTATGTCCTGTAATGTAATTAGTATTGTTGAATCTTTTTGGCAAAAATAAACTATTATGATTTAAGTTGCATTTGGAGTTGGTGAGCAATTGGCTTCAATCGCTGTTTACATGAACTTCCCACCTCCAATAAAATAAGGGAAAAGAAAACATCATCTGGGCCCCAAATGTTGGATGTGAATTCTTAATATATTTGTTCCAATTGCCTCTGTGAGCGAAAGGTGACACCCATGGGTACTGAAGTACCCAGTGGTGAGTGTAAATGTTAGGCAAAGGCAGATGCAAAAATTTCAGGAAATCATCTTTCCAAATCTTAGTATCAATAATTGTTTCTTTCTTACACATTCACCAAGGCAGACTCAGAGATGGTCGTGTATTATTATGCATCTACTATGGAGGTTATCAAGCGTACTCAATTCATCAATGCTATTAAGCTTTTTACAATCCCCTAAGATCTGATAGTGTTTAAAATATACTCAATTCAGCTAGCTGGTGTTGTTGCTGTCGAGGTCACTGGAGGCCCGACTATTGACTTTGTTCCTGGTAGAAAGGTAGAGTAATTTATTTGTTTACTTTATGAATGTAGCATCTGATGGTTTTATCATCTGTTCCAGTAACATCTGAATCCTTGGTTCTCAGGATTCGAACATTTGTCCCAGGGAAGGCCGACTTCCTGATGCTAAAAAAGGTATAATAATTGTGTTATTTTGTCTGTAGCTTCCTGCAGTCCTGCAAATTGAACGATATCTGAATGCCTTTTCTGCATCTAGCTATGTACTGTGAATGCAAAAATATTAGGGTTGAGTTTCTAGCTAACTGGTTTAATATAATCATTATATTTTACAATCATTTGTCAAAGAGGAGAAAATGAAGATCTGTATTTTTTTATAGTGTTTTTTTAGTTGCACAATTTGCTGTCAAATTGTGGCTCTTGTGTTTAAGATGAAAGTAAAGCTGTTAGAGGTTCGATATGTAATCATAAGTGTCAGTGCCACAACCTTGAATGTGATTTAATCATGTTGACAATGCTATCACAGTTTATGCTTTTCGACATGATAATTCGTATTTGAACTGTGCTTTTTTAATAAAATAACTTGTCGTATTTATTTGTATTTTACTGGAAGTTGCTTCTTAATTTCTCCTGGGGTTTAATGATAATGATACATTCAGATTCTACAAACTTTTGTGCATTCTTGCTGTGATGCTCAAGTTTTGGTAGGAAATTGTCACTTATCGGACTTGATATTTTAAACGATAGCCATTTTCTAATTTTGGTGATAGGTGCACCGCATCTGCGTGACATCTTTTATAGGATGGGTCTGTCTGACAAAGATATTGTTGCATTGTCTGGGGGTCACACTTTGGTAATTTCTTCACACATTTTTATTCTTGCATGTCTTTATTATCGTTTAACTAATTGAATCATATGTTGTGAATTCTGATGTTATAGGGAAGAGCACATCCGGAGAGATCTGGTTTTGATGGACCTTGGACAGAGGATCCTCTGAAGTTTGATAACTCATACTTTGTGTAGGACTTCAGCTACATCTTAGGCTAATCCTTGTATCATCTTATTAGGCCATATAAGGTGTTATTTCTGATTGTTGCCAATTTGATGTTAATAGGGAACTGTTGAAAGGTGAATCAGAGGGACTATTAAAACTTCCCACGGACAAGGCTTTACTTGAAGATCCTGAATTCCGCCAATATGTGGAATTGTATGCAAAAGTAAGGTCTTATTTTATGCATTATGGACTAGCGGGAAATTTTACTATTTTGCTATCCTAAGAGGAAACTAAAAGATTTTTTTATGCCTAATCCGATCTCTAAATAAATAGTCCGCTTGGTCTGGACTATAGATGTAACAGCCCAAGCCCACCGTTTCTTTTGGGTTTCCGCTCAAAGTTTTTTAAAACGCGTCTGCTAGGGAGAGGTTCCCACACCCTTATAAAGAATGATTTGTTTTCCTCCTCAATCGATGGAAGATCTCACAATAATATTTGTTAAAAGGACAATTTTTGCAGTCTCTAACCATTCACAATTACCATTGATAGAACTTCAGAATTGGCCAATGTGTATAGTACTTCTCAGCTACCAGATGTATGAACCATTTCTTATTCTATTTTCGTCAATTTCTACAGGATGAAGATGTATTCTTCCAAGATTATGCTGAATCACACAAGAAACTTTCAGAGCTAGGGTTCACTCCAGGTTCTGCTAAACCAATTGTGAAGGACAGCACAGTATTGGCTCAGGGTGCCGTTGGAGCCGCGGTTGCAGCTGCTGTGGTAATTCTGAGCTACTTATACGAAATTCGCAAAAAATCGAAGTAACTACAGTGACAAGGTCGACTAGTTGTCTTTATAGCAATATTGAGTTCATTTCTAGCCTGGAAGATTATCATGCCAATAAGACAACCTAGGCATCATACTGATTCCATGTATTAGCTTCATAAACAAAATCACTCTGCAAGATTATCATCATACCATAAAAATCTATATTTATATCTTGCTTTATATGTTTAATTCCTTGTGAAATTTCTTGTTTCCCCTTTTCAGATCATCACCTTACACC